AAAGATCCAATCCTATTTTAGCAAATGGGTACGGTGGTATATCAGTTTCCTGTATTGGGGGTTTCTTTTTCTTAAGACTTCACGTCTGACAGGTGACACAAGTTGATACATAGTCATAAAGCTGTTTGTACAAATTAGGCCAAAAATACTTTTGTCTAATTGAATCAAATGTTTTGTCAATACCCATGTGACCATTACCTTCATGGTATTGCGTAACTACTGCCCACCTCAAGTGTTCTGGTACAATCTAAGTACAGGTTTATCATCAGGGTCCGATATGTAGTAGACAATATCCTGAATTACTATGTAATGTCTCTGTATCTGACCTTTTGCCCGTCCTTCTCCCAGTTGGGTTTTTATCTCCTGTATCTCTTTATCCTTAGGCTGTTCAATTATTAGGTCTAGGCCTTCAAGTATTTTAAGCCCCTGTCTTTGTTCTGGTTTATGGTCTCTGAATTCACAACTTGCAAAATTTCTGGGGTCAAATTTGTTAGAATTAAGCGCATTGATTTCAAATGCCTTATCACTTAGTCTGGTTCGTAATCTCCCCATTGATTGGTTCCTCTTCAGTATGTGGGGTTCTTGAAAGTAGGTCAGCACATGTATTTTCCGGTCCCGCAATATACTCTATTTTACAATTATACCCGGCGATACCTAACGCCCATAATTGAATCTTTTTGTTTTGCATTGGGGACTCTAACAAATATTTCAAAGGTTTGTGATCGGTTTTAATGGTGATTCCGCGTTGTGCAAATAGTGATCTAGTTTTTGTAAGGCGTAATGGATGGCAAAAGCCTCCTTTTCCACGGTGGACCAACGAGTTTGCGTATCTGACAACTTATGTAAGAGGTAATACACTGGTTTTTCGTTCTTGACCCCTGGTAGTACCCCCTTCCCCATCGTCACAGGGTTGTGTGAGACATGCCCCTATGCAAGTATCGCTTGCGTCAGTATACAACGTATACAACGTATACGGTATAGCTGTATCTGGGTACGCTAACATAGGTACAACAGTTAAACTCTTTTTCAAATAATCAAACGCTTCTTGACATTCAGATGTCCATTTGAACTTAGCGTACTTCTTTGTAAGATTTACCAATGGTTTGGCTATCTTTGAAAAGTTTGGAATAAATCGGCGGTAATAACTACCCATACCTATGAAGCCCCTAACTTCTCTGACTGATTGAGGAGGTGGCATTGACCTGATAGCCTTGACCTTGTCAGTATCTGGTTTAACTCCATCTTTATCGATTACAAACCCTAAGTACTTTGTTTCTTTCTGCATGAAGTAACACTTTTTGAGCTTAAGTTTTAGATTATGACTCCTGAGCCTATCAAACGTCTGTTAAATGTGTTCAAGATGTTCCACTTTTGTTTCAGAAAATATCAAGATATCATCCAAATATGCGATTGCAAAATTTTCAAACCCCTGTAATACCCTAGCCATTAGTTCTTGAAATACAGCTGGAGCATTGGATAGTCCGAAAGGCATAACGTTAAACTCAAATAAACCTTTATGACAGGCAAATGCCGTTTTTTCTTTGTTTTTATCATCCATTGCCACTTGCCAATAGCCAGACTTCAAATCTAAGGTTGTAAAGTAGTTTGCATTTCCTAACAATGCCAAAATATCATCGATAAGTGGTAAGGGATTGTTACATAATAATTATTCCGACACGTGGTATTTGAGTTAAATTTTATTTCTTGCCGTGGTTACACAAGATCCTGTTCAAGTCCACCCCTATCTCCCGCTTAAGTTCCTACTTCCCGCTACAGGCCCGCACTGACTTGTCTAGCTCCCGAGCTCTAGCCTCCAACCACTCTCCTGCTCTTCTCCCGCTACTCTCTTGCTACTGTCTATTGTCTTAGTATTAATAATACCAAAACACTTCAATTCCAACTAAGCCCCGATTGGATGACAATACCCCACCCCGCGAGGCATATAATTATCAAGGCACGTGCAAGCTCATGTAACCTTATCTCAGGGATCCCGATGTACTTTACCGTCCAGTATGCTATCTACTCTGATCGACGATCCCTCCCCAGCTATCTCGCTACAGTGGCTAGGTGCGTGAGGCATACCCTTGATATCTAAGGGCTACCAAACTGCCTGTCCATCACAGGACGTTAACCCTGGTCCAGTGCCTGACTTTTGACACCTGTTGGTATTGTTTCCAGAGAACCTGTTGTACTTTAAATTCCTGTTTTAAATTATATTCTCTAAATTGTATTTCTACTACCCATTTTGTTACAGGATAGCTGTTGACCTTTGTAACTTTATTTAATTGCCTAAAATCCACACAAAAGCGTTTGGTTCCGCCTGTATCAATCTTCATTTTTACAGTCTGGGTACACCCTAAATCTGAATCTGACCTAGCAAAAAGTCTTATTACGAGTCACTAACTCTTCAATACTATTTCTATGCGCTGTTGGTACTTGAAGTTCGTGCTCTATATCCATGGACTGACTACTGTCATGGCTACTAGCTTGACATCCTGAATCTAAAGCTACCATATTCTGCTCCGGGACGGTCTCGACCTTGCCCAATATACAGCCCTTTCTAAGTTTAATTGTCTTCTTGGTGTTATTGACAATCATTACCGGGAGTCTGAGATTATCGTTAAGCTTTGCTATAGAGTTCGCGACCATTAGCCCTGGTTCCTCATACACATAACCTGACTCAATAGCTGTCACCTGTAATCCAGTATTTCTTAAGTAATCTCTGTCTTTGACTCTACCCACGCATATTGTTGCGGTCTGGGGTTTTAATATCATAACCTTATTGTTCCTAAGGATTGATGATATATGCATATCTTCTTCTAGAGCGACATAACTTTTATTTATTCTTAGACATCCCAAGTCAAAATATAGTCTTACACCAAATTCCTTTAGCCAGTCTCTGCCTAAAATAACATTTCTATTCATATCTTGTACTATATAGAACTTGCGCGTCAATGTCTCACTTCCCATCTTGAAAGTCATCGTTGTTGACCTGTCAATATTTAATGCACCCCCGTTAACTGATTGCAGATGTACTTTCTGCTTACTCAGTTTAGGCGGGATTTTCAGTGTCCGATACACCCTCCTATGTATAAGTGAAACTTCTGCGCCAGAATCTACTAATGTCCTAAAGTTTTGCTTGTTTATTTTAATTAATACCGAATTTGGATTCCCTGCTAAATTTATAATAAATTTACGAGCTTTCTTATTAGCTTTACTCCTACTTCTCCCGTCAACGGCCCTGTTATGGCGGGAGGTTTTTAGTTTTTTTACTTTTTCTTGAGCTGAGGACACATAGCCCTAATATGTGGTCCTCTACAAAACCAGCATTGCACAGATGGCTGGATGGCGTTAACTTGAGGGCGCCTACCGGCTTTTCCCTGACCGCTCTTACAATCCCTAGACACATGACCCGACCTGTTACATTTATAGCAACGCCTGTTTCTGAGATGGTCAACCTCCATAGGTTGTTCCTCTCGTGAGTCATAGTTATGACGTCCATTAGACGACTGGAGATTAAACCTCTTACTGAGATTTTCCTCTCTCCTTGCTATTGTTAATGCGTCGTTCAGAGTGGCAGGATTTTCCCTCATGACTTTCATCCTGAGGTAACCCTGGTATAGGCCTTTTGTAAAGAATCCCACTAATTGCCTGTCTATTACAGCATTTGTACCTATCTCATGTCCATCAAAGGCATCCCTAGCTATGCCTAATAATCTTTCTCAATAGATCTCTACGTTTTCAGCAGTACCCTGTTTTATGCTTGAGAGGAGGTCTAAGGCATGCTGCATGTCTACACCTTCGGCAAAGCGGATTTGAAGCTGTCGTTTTAATTCTGCCCATGTTGAACTTCCCATCTTTGATCTACCTTATACATTGTTTCTTATCTTGTTTACTTTCAAATGTGTTCACCAGCGCAAGGCATACAAGAGCATCTATCTGTCCTGATCAATCATACTGGCGATATTCTGCCACGGTGCTTCACCACTTGGGTACACACCCCGCTCGTTATCAGGCGTGCATCACTATTTATCACTCACGGGATCTTTTCCTCGGTCCAGCATTAACTGACTTTTGACCTGATGTACTTTAAACTAAGATGCTGCTCTCTACGATACACACCATTACAAAATTACCATTAAACCCATTTTTTACTCATTTTGTTATATACCTTTCCCACCAAGGATATTAACTAATGTTCCAAAACTCGAGAACAAAATGTGGTATGATAGTAATTAGTTATCAATAATCCACCACGAACAGATAATATAATTAGTACTCAACATGTTTTCCTTGTGCAGTATACTTCACAGTGTCTTATTCTAACACAATATACATGCAATGAATATTTCGCCAGTCAGTTATAATTCCACGCGCCAAGTTAAAACACGGCACTGTTCTAACAGTCATAACTACACAGGTCCACAGCAATTCATCCAACAATTCTCGAATAAAGATAATTCAGATCCATGGTAAACAACTCTCACAATTAATTATAACCGTCACGCTTTCCCTTGTACTTTCCAATGTCTTATCTAAAACACAATACACATGCCAAAATATTAATATTTCGCCAGTAAGAAATAATTTCACGTAATGGTCCACCATAGTTCCCGACAGCAATTAATCCAATAACTCGCGAACGTTTAGCAATCCAACAGTTTACGACCTTTCTTAACTCTTTGCCTGCTGAGTAACGGAATTATCTCCCCTAGACCTAGGCACTCAGTAATTTTTACCATGTTGAAATTTACAAGTGTATTTTATTTAAAAAATCGTAACTTTTTTATTTGTGTCTCTATTTTAATGAAACTTTGGATATATGCTGATATATAATTAAAATATAATTTACAACTACTACAAGTGTGTTTTGTTGTTTTTTGTGTTAGTAAAATCACTAAAATGAACACTGATAGTATGAATGGAAAAATTTTTTTTTAATTATTCCAACATAATTATAACACAGCCCCTACCTCACTTGTGTAACTGTGGATGACAGGTTATCTTGTAGTTAAGTTGTGTATGATACCTCTCAAAGCAGGGAAATACACAAAGTGGAATGTTATATCGTTGGTGGCGGCCTGTTTTCCCGTGTACATTTCCCAGTTATACATATATCCTGTTTTGGATTCGGCCAATGTCCACACTTTCAACCCCCATTTATGGGGTTTTGAAGGGATATATTGGATAAATTTGGTTCTTCCCTTGAAAGGAATTAGTGTTTCATCAGTACTCATTTCCCTGTGGGGACAGTAATACCGTTGCCAATTTCTGATAAGTAGTCTGGCAAGTTTTGAAAACTTGTAAGTTGGGTCATAATTTGGGCTCTCTCTTGGGGGCTCCAAATCATTATCGGCTGCATGAAAATACGCTAGAATGTTCAGAAATCTGTCTCTAGACATTAAGGTAGTAAAACCTTTCAAAGATATCAATTCATCTTGACTCCAATATGATTCATAATTTGGTAATCGGACAAGACCGATGTACAACATCATTCCGAGAAACGCTTTCATTTCCTGGTTTGTAACGTCCTGCCATTTTCTGGGACGGGCGTGAGGTTTCAAGGAAGCAATACCACCTACCTTTAGCAGTTGCTGCTGGTAATATCTGTTAGTTTCTTCCATTAATAAAGAAATTATTTCTTCATTCACAATTTTTGAAAATATGTCGTACTCGCTAGCATTTTCGTCTATGCGACGAGGCCCCGGTTGCTCGGTAAAATCACGTAGCCAGTTGCACTCGTAAGCATCGAGTGTCGTATCTCTCTCTTCCCGGTACATTTCTTCATCAACTTCTCTCATTATTTCTGCGATTTCGTCCTCATTAAGTTCGATTTCACTGTCCACATCACCTTGCTCAATATCGTCTGTAATTTCATCCAAGTTAAACCCTAAAAACTCCTCATCCTCACTTTCGGAGTTGCCAACAAAATCGTGGAATTCATCTTCAGCCATGTTGTTTATGTTTTCATTCAAAAATTGAAAAAAAACTCGATTTTTTTCGTTTGAACCGTCACTTTACAGCGTGTTTCAATGTGGAAGCCATGTGGTAATATCCCCGGATGTAGCGTCTATGTGTACTGTGTATTTCGTCATCAGAATTTGTGTAGGTTAATTTTAGAACTACAACTGTATTGTGCGGCGGAATTCCCCGCCAGCAGTGGGCAACGGATATTTATCCACGGGCGGGATTTGCCGCCAGCAGCAGGCAAAGAGTTAAGAGAACAGCATTTCAGTTATTATCCCAAAGGTTCACACAGTAATGGACTAAAAAAGTTCAATTCACTAAGCAATCCACAACGGTTTACGAGAGCATCTTTTTTTTCAGTTTCCCATACAGCAATGTAACGGTGCTTGGTTCAAGTTTGGCAAGGCTACACTCCAAATATTAATACAACTCGGTTCCAGGATAATCTTTTCAGAGAATTTAGAATTGCCCATCAGTACCCATAACCTTGGATATAGGTCAACTGGGCGTGAATGTATTCTCTAGCACAACGAGCGTCAATACATCTCCCCCCCATTGGACAAGGCATCAGAAAAACTCACTGTTTCCATCAGCTGTGGACTAAGTCATAGTTTGGAAAGTACTGAACGTTTATAGATGCCCTAATTATTTCCAAGCCATTGTGACGTCAAAATTCTCTATGCCAGTTAGATCTGGCCCGCTTAATTAAATCCTGTGTCAATCTGGTGTTCACGCCATCAACCGCAGAACAAAATTCTGGGCCACTATTGTCTGGTTCCTTTTGGTTTGTGTGTCCAAAACTTGATCTACAGTATGGACATTTTTTGTTAGTTTCTTATAACAGTCCTCACATAAGGAGTGGTTACATACGTCACATTCCCCAATCCAGTTTTGTCTCAAAGCATATGCTGCAATCCTCCATCCACAATTCCTCCCATGAACACATGCTGGTTTTGGCTTTTACGTGTTTACGAAAACGTTTCCACAGGGAGCTCCAACAGTGTCACAGTCATACATGTACAACATCTACAGTTAACTGGTACCTCCCAGTTTTACAAGGAGCCTTATCTATTCCTTACCCCAAATGATGAGGATGGTAACACCCTATCCTGAAGCGATAACCACGCCTCCCGTTTCCAAACGGCATCATTCCAAGTCATGGCCATGACTTTCCAGCTACGACATCCACTATGTCCCGAATCTCCAGGTGGCCCCTGCAGCGCCTGTACCTCTGCAGCCCATAGTATATCTCATTGCGCTGTGACAGTTCCTGTTACACTGTTGGGACACTTTGCTGGGCTTCTCATCAACCCTACATGTGACAATTCTCATTTTTTTTCTAAAGGTGAAGCCGAACTTTACCTGGGACAGTTGTCATTCTTGTTGATATGGCCAATTTCGCCATCTCTCGAAATAACCCACATCCAGTTAAAATCCTGGTCACGGCAACAAAAATAAACACGTGTATCACAATGACTAAACACAGTGTTTACTTGGGTTGACCGAAACGTTTATTTCATTGTATAGTGGTTTTCCATAGTTAGTACTTAGCGTTAATATCCATTACAAAAGATAGTTCCTAATCAACATACAGCATCATGTCGTGGCACCAAAACTAAACACCTGTGTAAGGCAGACAAAAACTAAACACCTGCCTGTCCATATCAAAGAGTTCCATACAAATGTTCATTGGCCACAGAAGAAGGTGTCAGATGCTGCAAATTCGGCCTGGTTCTCCGACTAAGCGAATGCGATCATCCTGTTGTTCTGTTCACCATCGTCAAAGAGGAGAAATGGTTCGCCTGTAGATGCTTCTGTCCATCTTCCATCCACGGTGATGTCGGCCAAAGTCTTATGTAGTGGAGGAGTCTGCTTGTGGTGAGCATGGTAAAGAGACGAATTCTTGGAAGTCGTCTCAAAGTTGATTGAGCTCTTCCTCAAAGATGGACGGAATAGGCTGGACCGATTGTACGCATTTGTTGGTGATCTGGTTCATGATCTGTTTGGCTACAACACTGGCTGGGTCTGAGGCATGGGTGTGTGGATTTCTTCCGAAGTTAGCTGGTATGTTGTTGATTGTCGAGATTGATGCTGAGCAGCCTGAGGTCGAACATCTCCAGAATGTCCTGCTGGCATTCTTCCGAATCTGTCTGAAGATGAATCCATTGTGTGAAAGGTTCTGTCCGCCTCTTCTGTTCGTGATGAACTTCACGTTGATCTGAGCATTAGCCATACTGTCCTTGTATCAAACAACACCGATAATAATATCACTCAAATTAAACACAATTTACATAAAAACTGAGAGAAAATATGAGATTAACTAATATATACTAAAATGAAAAAGAAACGCTGTGTAACCTAAAAAGATTCTTCTAAATGATATAATTTAATGTTACATTATTTCATTCATTTTTGTATACAATTTCATCTGTTTGGAACCATTTGTTGAAGGTTCTATCGATTATCAATGCTTATTATGCCAAAAATATCCCCCTTTCAGCAATGACCCTACTTGTATTGCGCAACACGGCCGGACATTTCAGTAGCTTGTGTGTCCTCCATGCGCAGCTGTTGCAGCCCTGATTCTTCTATGCATGGAATTCATCAGGGTGTTAACCCTTGCAATGGGGATGTTATTCCATTCTTCATGCAAGGCACGTGTGAGCTGGACCAGATTAGTGGGGGCATTTGGACGTCTCCTAACCCGCTCCTATCCAATTCGTCCCACAAATGCTCAACTGGAGACAAATCTGTACTGAATGCTGGCCAATCGATTGGGATTACGTTATTGTTGGCAAGAAATTGCTGACAAACTCTAGCGACATGGGGCCGGACATTGTCTTGCTGGAATATCAGTTTCCGTGCTTGCACACATGACACAGCAACTGGGCGAAGGATTTCGTCTCTATACCTTACGCCGGTTAAATTACTGTCAATCATGATCAGGGGTGATTTAAACCCATAGGAGATACCGCCCCAAACACATACTGAACCACCGCCAAACCTATCCCGCTCAGCGACGCACGCGTCGGTGTAACGTTCCCCTCGACGTCGATATACACGACGTCGCCCGTCCGAACGGTAGAGAGTGAACAGGGATTCGTCAGTGAAGAATACCCGTCTCCATTGCCTCATAGGAAAATTTCTGGGCGAGTGTGCTTGTAACCAAGCCAATCGGCGTTGGCGAACGTGCAGGAGTTAGGGGCAGACCAACATAGGGATGTTGGGTTCTTAGGCCATTGACGCGTAATCGGTTTCGAACCGTATCAGGAGGAATATGGCGGTTATGTCTTATAAACCGATCCTGATGTGGCGTCGTGACGCGCGGACATCCACTTCGCAGTCGGTCGATGACCCTCCCCGTCACACGCACACGTTGGACAAGACGTTGAATTGTCTGAATATGCACACCAAAATGTGCAGCAACCTGAAGTTGGCCCTGACCCTACAAAAGCATTCCTATAGCCTGTCCCCGCTGGACTTCCGTCAATCGTGGCATGGATGTAAATTGCTTAATTCGAATCAATCCGAATACTTGAACAGTATCAAATAGACTGAAAATTTCCATTGGCGAACTCAATGACCTTCGCCTGCACGGGATTCTTGTATTTTAGCACGTGCCTCGCACGGAGCGCAGAGGTCAGGTATTGTGTGATTTTAAACACGTGTACCTAGTGACCGCGAACAACACATCAACCTGACTGAGTGTCATTATTCTAGGCCAAGCAATAAATCATTTGTAGTATATTTAGTGTACCCGGCGTTTCTTTTTCGTGTTAGTATATATATGACAAAAGTTATGATTTTACAATATATATCTGTGACAAAAGTACAGTAATAAATCAAGCAATGATTGAGATATTGATCTTTCAAAGTGCAGATTGAAATATGATAATTTCCCAAAATGAATTTGGCTTTTATACATTTCCCATTGAATAGCTTGGGATTTAAACTGATTTAACAAAGATATTTGATTCCTTTATTTTACAGTTTTCAGTTTTCTGAACAGTTATCAGAATCAGAACTTAATCATCTGATATACCTGTTTTCTGAACAGTTATCAGAATTTACCTGTGCAAGTAACCTGTACTACAATTCTAAAACAGCCTATGATCCACTATCATCACAGTTGACCTCCTATGTAAACGTGTCATATACAGAGTTGGTGTTCGGGGAAGACCCCACAAATTTAACTCTTTTCTCCAGCAGTGCAGCCAACACCGCATGTCGCTCTATTTGCTTTACCAACTCTTTGAATTTTTTTGGATCTCCCTCATAGGAAGCAATGTCTCCCCCCTCTATTCATTTCTGGTTCAGCCATTGTAAGGTACGACAAAAGCTAACACAATGTCACTTACCTGGTCACCCCTTCTTGTTCCCTCCTGCTAACTTACTTTGCTGTTGTCGGTTGATGGCTCTGTCCTTTTATCCGGATATCTCTCCGCCTTTGGTTCTGTTCTTAGGGTTTTTCACTGCTTTTGGTCCTTTCCTTTCTCCTGAAGAGTGTCATTTAGTTTGCCGTACATCAAATTTCCTAACAAGGAAATGAACATAAAAATACCTGAAGTGGCTTGTGAAGTGAGCATACTCGGGAAATAAACATCGCGGGACACACAAAGTGTAAATATAACTTGATTAACCTAGAGACACAAATTTGCACAATTTGACTACCTAATCATATTAAAGGTTAAATTTCTCAACATATACATAGCGTCAAAAGTTAAGCACCACCCTATTTTTCAGACGTGAACAAACTTCAAAGTTACAAGTAAACAAAGCAAGATATTTTTTGTGCACTTTTACTAATTTTTAAGATGGATAGGCACATGTTATTTCGAATTTTATCGATTTAGGTAAAAACATTGTTAAAATGCAGAATTTAACTGCGTAAAGAAATGGAACAAAAAAATGGAGAATCTGATAACCAAAAAAAGTATTGTCACCACACATAAACGCAAAAGCTCAGTACATTGAAACGAGTGTCAAA